TGGGAGCGCGGACGCAGCGTAATCCCACCAGCCCTTTGGGCGACAGATGGTCAAACGGTGACGTCCTTTCCTCTTGGACCAAGACGGGAAGGGCCGCGACCGGGTGGAGCGTCCGAGATCGCCCCCCCTGGGAGGGCCAATGTTTGTCACCCCTCACGAGGATCGTGGCCCCCGAGGGGGGGGGCGCTGATCGGGACCCTCCCTCCCTTGATCGATAGCCTCGAAGATGGCCCCAAGAGGCGCTCCAGGGCTCCCAAGAGAGCCGCAAGGGAGCCCAAGAGGGCCCCAAGAGGGCCCCCAAAGGGCCCCAACGTGCAGAAGAGGAAGAGGACGAGGAATGGTAGTAGGAGAAGGAGGAAGCTTCGTGGGAGCCTCTTGGAGCACTCTTGGGGGTTGCTCGGAGTGTCCTGGAGGCTTTTTGGGGGTCTCATGGGGGCCTCCTTGGGCCTGCTGGGGGCTTTGGGGAGCTTCTTGGGGGCATCTTTGGCCGTCATCGGGCGCTCCTGGCCCGTCCGACGCCGTCGGGAGCCGTCTTGGGGGCCTCTCTGAATCCTCTCACCACCTAGGCTCAAGGTGCCATTGGCCGCCTGCTCGACTGCGTGCGCGCGTCGAGCAGGCGGCCAATGGCATCGAGCACTCTTGCTGCTCAGAGGGATGTGGGGCGCGAGGCTTGAGCCCGACGTCATCAGCTACAGCGCTGGGACCAGCGCCTGCGAGAAGGGCGGGCGGTGGCAGCGTGCTCTGGCGCTGCTCAGCGAGATGTGGGACGCGAAGCTGGAGCCGAACGTCATCAGCTACAGCGCTGGGACGGGCGCCTGCGAGATGGGCGGGCAGTGGCAGCGTGCTCTGGCGCTGCTGCGCGGGATGTGGGACGCGAAGCTTGAGCCCGACGTCATCAGCTACAGCGCTGGGATCAGCGCCCGCGAGGACGGCGGACAATGTCTGCGTGCTCTGGCGCTGCTCAGCGAGATGTGGGATGCGACGCTGAAGCCCAACGTCATCAGCTACAACGCTGGGCGCGCGCGCGAGAAGGGCAGACAATGTCAGCGTGCTCTGGCGCTGCCCAGCGAGATGTGGGACGCGAGGCTTGAGCCCGACGTCATCAGCTACAGCGCTGGGACGGGCGCCTGCGAGATGGGCGGGCAGTGGCAGCGTGCTCTGGCGCTGCTGAGCGAGATGTGGGATGCGACGCTGAAACCCAACGTCATCAGCTACAGCGCTGGGACCAGCGCCTGCGAGAAGGGCGGGCGGTGGCAGCGTGCTCTGGCGCTGCTCAGCGAGATGTGATACGCGAAGCTGGAGCCGAACGCCATCAGCTACAGCGCTGGGATCAGCGCCTGCGAGACGGGCGGGCGGTGGCAGCGTGCTCTGGCGTTGCTCAGCGAAATGTGGGACGCGAAGCTGGAGCCCGACGTCATCAGCTACAGCGCTGGGATCAGCGCCCGCGAGGACGGCGGACAATGTCAGCGTCGGCGAGGCCTCAGGGCCGTCTTGGAGGCCATCTTGGGCGTCTGCGTCCTGGAGGCCTCTTGGGCCATCTTGCAGGCATCTTGGGGCCATGTGGGCGCCTTGGAGGCCTCTTGGGCCGTCTTGGGGCGCTCTGGGGGCCGTCTAGAGTCTAGGGGGGCAATCGAGCCGTCAAAAGGCCATTTCCATTTCGCAGGCCTCTTGGGCGATCTTGGGGGCCTCCTGAGCCGTCGGAAGGCAGAGAAGAAGAAAACACGAAAGCAACCTTCCAACACCTAAGGAAAACTAATGGTTTCGCCCTCTCCGGGCTCTCCTGGAGAACGTCTTGGAGGCCTCTGGGGACGTGTTGGAGGCATCTGGGAACCATCTTAGCAGTCTTGGAGGCAACCTTGGCCGCCTAAGAGGCCTCTGGGAGGCCATATAGGGCCAACGTGGCCATCTTGGAGGCCATCTTGCGCCGTCCTGGAATACCTGGTTGGGAATGTTCCGGGTGGCCGGCGGACATGGCCCTCCCAACATCAGCAGCGCACGCAGAAATATCGCAGCCCTCCGCCCCACGCCCCGCCCCTGTTTCGGATATCGTGATATCGTGATATCGTGATATTTCGCTTCCCCCCGGAGATGTCGTGTAATAGGAAACGGGTTCAATGAGGGGGCCGTTCTTCGAAGCGGTATTCTCCAGGATGTGCCGCGGCCGATCTCATACGTGTCAAAGAATGTGGGGGCGTTGCGCCGCTGGCTTTAATTCTTTGTGGTTCGCACTCTTCTCTTCCCAGGCGTTAACGTTGACATGCGGTTTCGCGCGTGGTCTCAGTTAGGATTTGAATTTCGTGATATTTTTCATGTAACATTTATTGTAATTTCAATTGGAATTCTTCATGGAATTCAAGTTTTGTTTGGAATTTCATTTTGATTTTTTTTATTTTGAATATCTGTTTGATTTTTTGTGTAGTTCGAATTTCACGGCGGAAATCAGTTTGAATTGTTTGTGTAGTTTGAATTTACGTTTGCAGTCTGGCGCTCGGACCACCTTAGCCCAAAAATGGAACACCTAAATATAGTCTGAGGGCCATATTCGGGCTCCCTGGGCGTCCTCTCGGAGCCGTCTTTGGGCCACGAGAGGGCCCTGGCGGGCCCGAGCGGCCGCGACGGGGCTCCGGGAGGGCCCCGCCAGGGCTCGTGTTGAAAGGCTTTCAAAACGAACTTTTCCATATGGTATTGGGGCCCCCCTGGAGCCGCCTCGGGGCCCTCTTGGAGGGGGCCGAGGGCGGATCTGGGCGACGCCGCGAATCCCAAGGCGTTCTGACTCGAGACGCCGCCGAGCTTTTTGTCGCATTTCGGGCCGCAGTTTGAGCCCCGGCCATGAGCATTGCGGAGACGGTGGACATATCAGAGCATCCGAGCCTGGGCTTGTTTGGGTGCTCAGATGAAGCTGGGGCGCAGGTCCAGGTCACCAGGCGCGGCGCCAAGCGCAAGGGGGTGGAAGTCACCAGCAAGTATGCGCCCGACGCCCGGGCGTGCGAGCTGTGCTTGTTGAAGGCCAACAGCGTTGACCCTGTCGACGGCGGCTATCTCGCATGGTTCTACCCGCCGTACGCGAACGGCAAAACTCAGGTGGGGGTGCAGCGCCCACGCACCCCTCCTGCCCCCCTCTCCTCGCTGCCCCATTCCATGGCGGAGTGGGGGGGCGTGGAGTGGGAGGGCGGCGTGGTGCGCGCGGCGGCATCTCGTCAGGGATGCATCTGCCGGTACTGCGGCAGGACCTGGCAGACGACCAAAAAAATAGAGTTCCCCACAATGAAGCTGCTCATCAATAAGTGCGGTGAGGACATCGACTTCTGGGAGTCTTTCAAGGACCTTGCGAAGTTCCTGGTGCAGAAGTGCGTCGACGCCAACTCCCGCGACATCAAGATCAAGTGGGAGGGTGCGGCCGTTTCCGACCGCGTGCTGTCCAGGGAGCAGGAGGGCATCCAGGTCTTCGACGACGAGGAGATTCGTCGTCGCGGCGGCGACGACGACGACGACGACGGCGGCGGCGACGACGACGACGACTACATAGGATGCGCGGGGGAGAGCTGGAGGGCGGGCAGGGGGGGCGGAGGGTTGAGAGTGCAGGGCCGACTACAGAGGATCGAGGATCAACGATCGATCGGCGTCGTCGTCGTCGTCGTCGTCGTCGCCGTCTTCGCCGCCGTCGTCGTCGTCGTTGCCGCCGTCGTCGTCCTCGTTCTCGTCGTCGTCGCCGAGGATGCCATGGGCGCCCTTGGAGAGCTACTCATCTTCCTCATGATGCTGTCAGGCTGAGGAGGATGAGTAGCTCTCCAAGGGCACCCTTGGAGTCCTTGACGACGTCGGCGACGATGACGGCGACGACGACGACGACGACGCCGATCGATCGTTGATCCCCGATCCTCTGTAGTCGGCCCTGGATTCTCAACCCTCAGCCCCCCCTGCCCGCCCCCCACCACTTCCCCGCGCATGTCCCGTTGCGTTTGCCCCGCCCGCCCCCTCAGGAGCACGTCGAGCTGGAGTACTACAAGACCGGGTACCGCGGCGGACAGGGCGACCCAGCCAGCAATGGAAAAGGGCATCGAGTCGGCTGGTTCGAAGGCGTTTACGGCGTCTTCGTGCCGCCACCGCCGGTCAAGAAGATCCGCAGGATGAAGGCCGGCTTCGCGGAGCGCGAGCGGGTGCACGACGACGGCAACATGGTCCTCAGCGAGTCGCAGCTGACCGACACCATGCAGACGGTGCTCGCTGGTTTCAGGACTTGCTCGCTCCTCTTGCCCCCCCTTTTATCTCCCTCGTCCCTCCCTCCGCCCGCTGCTTAACTCCGTTCCTCCTCTCTCTTCCGATTCCCTTTTTCTCTCTTTACCTCCTCCCTCTTTCTCCGCGCCCTCTCTCCTCCTCCGCTCCCCCTCCGTCTCCTCTTCGCTATCTCTTTCCTCTCGACCTCTTCCGCGCCCCGCTCTTGCCAGCCCTTTCGCTCCTGCGCCTTCCCTCTCATTCCCCTCCATCTTCCTCCTCCTCCTCCTCCAGCCTTCCCCGCGGGCTCCTCCCCCGAGGGTCGAGAACGCGGTCGGCGCCCACCTGGGCCTGCTGCGCGCGCCGGTCATCCAGTCGCCGGCGAGCGTCGACGTGGGGGCATCCACGCCCGCCAAGCCCCCTCAGGGTTTCTTCAACGTGCAGATGGCGACGCCTCCTAAGAACCAGGCGCAGCCAGGACAGGCATCGACGCCGTCGCCTTCCCCAGGGGCGGTCTGCGTGAAGGTGGAGCGCGGGCAGGGGAGGGCCCGCGTGAAGGTGGAGGACGAGGGCGAGGCGCCCGCCGTTCCTATCCCGAAGCGGTCGGCGGCCAAGCGGGGCAAGCAGGCGGGCTCGGATGGCGCCGCGGCAAGCGGCGGCTCGAGAGAGAAGAGAGGCCCCGGCAGAGACAAGCGCGACATTGCCGCAGACACCGACAAGCTCAGGTTGGATTGGACCAGTTGCTCAGAGAGCAGCCCGAGCTTCTTCGGCACGGGTCCAAAACCATGATGCAGTGGATCTCTCGGCTCGAGGTCGCCATCGACGAGCGCTTGGGCGGGACCCAGGACGCCGAGACTCGCGCCCAGATCGTCATTATGAAGAAGACCGTGCAGGTAATATCATCGCTGTGCAAGACCGCCAAGAAGCACGGCGCGGAGTCCGATGAGTTCTTGGCTGAAGCAAAAAATCAGATGGCGTTCGTTGACATGGACCCGAAGATCGAGGTGAGTGTTTTCCCGGGCTTCGTCAAGTTGGCGGCCAAGCGCTTCTCGGTTCTGGGGGCCGCCGGCGCCGATTTCTGGCAGTCCTTGTCCGTGGACAACTTGGCCGAAGTCACCGTTACCATCGCTGAGACGCGCAAGTTGCAGCGCGAGCTGTTGTGCAGCAAGGTGGAGCCGGCCCAGGAGAACGCGACGACTTGCCGCGCATCCCTCTTGAGCATTTTCCAGGAGGCTTATTTCTGCAATGCCGAGTTGTCGGCTGATACGCTCGTGGAGGTCGAGTCCATCAGCAACGTGATCAAAGCGTCGTCGACTTCTTCGATCGGCGCCGCGCCGCTCGACAAGCTCGGGGCGGCCGTGGAGCTCGTCGCCGACAAGTCCGCAGAGGTCGCGAGCAGCTTGTTGCTTTTCCCGCCTGGCAAGCTCCTCCACCAGCAGGCGCTGAAGACCAGGGACGCCACCAAGGCCAGTGACCTCGCGCTGTCCCGCGTCGAAGTTGAGAGCGGCAAGCTGGGGGGGCTCGACAAGCTGGGTGAGCGGGGGTGGACGGCCCACTCCGAGGATCTCGAGAGAGTGGCGCCGGCGGTGAAATCTCTCGTCGGCGCGGTCGAGGCGCTGACCTCGGTGGACTACGGCCGCGCCGACAAGGACATCAAGGGCGATTTCATGGAGCAATTTTTCTGGGGCAGCATGCGGTACTGGTCCGGGGTAGCCCTTGGTCAGGCCTTCGCTTTCGTCCTCAGGGTCGCGGACGATCACGACAAGATGGACGGCGATCTGATGGAGTGCATCGTCGGCATTGCGATTGCGGCCCATTGTACCAATGTCGGTGGCGCTGTGTGCGACAGCAAGCATGACTCGCTCAAGCCGGCGCTCAAGCAGATCATCTCCCTCCTGCCATGCGTAGCCAAGGTGGTGGCCCTCAAGCAGGCTGAGACGCTGAACACTGGGGAGGCGATCAAGCTCCAAGCAGCTCTCTGTGACTTCTCGATGGACGCGGCCTGGGCGGACGAAGCTGCCATCGCCACGGCGACCCTGGAGAGCGATGGCTCGCAGTCGGAGCCCAGCTCCAACACGGCCAAGGAGATTGCGGCGGCCTTCGGCACTGCCGTCAAGGAGAGGCGCTAGGGCGCCCCCCCCCCCACCACGATCGAGGGCCCCAGGGGGGGTCCAAGAGGGCCTCGAGGGCAGTCAGACATGGGACATGTGACATGTCTGACTGCCCGCTGACGTGACATGTGACATGTCTGACGTGACATGTGACATGTCAGGCGTGACGTGACATGTCACATGTCACGTCTCGCGAGAGGGCGCTCGCGTCACCGATGTTTGACTGCTGTTTGGGCCCTCCTGGAGCCGTCCTGGGGCCTTCTTGAGGCGCCCATCGGGGTACTTTCGGGCCCCCCCTGAATGTCCTGGGAGGGCCCAAGGGGCTTTCGTCGGGCCCTCGGGGGCCGAGGCGCGGGGCGCCGGCGCTCGCCGGGGCTCGGCCGGGGGGGGTCGCCCACCTGCGCCTCGGCAGGTTGTTCGATCTGAGGCTTCGGAAATCCATCTTCATGTCCGTTGTCGCCGAGAAGAAGCTCGCCGACTCCGTCAAGGCTTTCGTCGACCAAGTGCCTGAGGAGTACAAGACGAATGCGTTTCCCAGGGAGTTCAAGGAGCTGCAGCTGGGGGACTTGACCAGCCTCGCCGCGGGCGTTGGCGACCGCCGTCTGGTGAAGCAGCTGTCCCTGATGAAGGCGGCGCATGCGACTGGGATGGCATTGCACGCCGTGGCGCAGGCTCGCGGCGAAGGCTTGCAGATCGCCGAGCTCAGCGGCTCGGCCCCGGTGTGCGACGACACCGCCAAGCTCATCACCTCGGCGCGCGCGCGCCTGCAGACGTTGGTGGCGACCGTCGTCGAGCCCGACCTCTTCGAGAAGAGGGAGGACGAGGACAATCACCTCGACGCGTTCGACCAGTTCCTCGGCGACCCCATGTCGTTCAAGGAGTTCGTGGTCGGGTCGGCCATGAGGGAGCTCGACATCTGGCGGAACGCGTGGACGGCATGCGTGCACCAAATCTGCAATTCCATCGAGTCGTCCATTGAGCCGCCGGGCATCCTGGCGCTCAAGGATAGCATCTTGAAGCCTGAGCACTCGGAGAAGCATGCTGCGCTGGTCGGCAACAAGAACTACAAGGTCCTCTCCGAGAGCGTGAACGCCCTGAAGGAGGCTCGCCGCGTCGCGCGCTCCGTGGCCAAGGACGCGTTCGGCCCCTTCTTAGCGGCAGATGTCGTCAGCAAGTCCAAGCAGGTGTTCGACAATGGGATCGAGGTCGTGTCCCTCACCTACGCCGTCTTCCAAGTCACTGCGGTGATCCCGAAGATCAAGGGCCAGAAGAAGCGCAAGGACGCGGTGGATGCCCTGAAGGCGGACATCTTGGCCAAGGGCGTCAAGATGAGCGAGTCCATCCTCGAGGAGTGCGCCCGGCTCGAGACCTCGGCGGCGTAGGCGTCGCTGGGGGCTCCCTCGAGGGGCGGCGGGATCTCGGGCTCCTCTGAGCAGGGATCTCGGCGCGGGCGAGTCGCGTCTCACAGACGCGGCAGGGGTCGCCCGCTCGAGGCGAGACTTGACAGAGACGCAGCGCGGGGTTGCGCGTGCGATGGCCAGCAGACAGAGAGAGAGAGAGAGAGAGAGAGAGAGAGAGAGAGAGAGAGAGAGAGAGAGAGAGAGAGAGAGAGAGAGAGAGAAAGAGAGAGAAAGAGAGAGAAAGAGAGAGAGAGAGAGAGAGAAAAAACAAAAAGACAGAGAGAGAGAGAGGGAGAAGGAGAGAGAAAGAGAAAGAGAGAGAGAGAGAGAGAGAAAACAACATAAAGACATAGAGAGAGAGGGAGAGAGAGGGAGAGGGAGAGAGAAAGAGAGAGAGAGAGAGGGAGAGAGAGAAGCACATCGCAAGTTGCAATTCTTGTCGATCCCATCCGATCCGCGCTCTGCCCGTTCCCATCCCGACCTATCTTGTGAGTCGTGCCTGCGTTCATGTTGGGTGGTCTCATGGGGCGGCCCTCGCGGCGCTGCCGGGCGTTGGTTCGAAAATGCTGGTCGGGTGCCCTCGGGGCACGGAAGCCCGAGGCGGAGTGAGTGGTGTTTGCCGATTGCGAGCGATATGCAGGGCGACACCCGCCACCCGCCAGCCCAGGGCGACAGCGACGGGGGGCGAGGGCCGACGGGGGGGAGAGGGGCGAGAGGGGTCGAGGGAGGGCGGGGGGAGGGAAGGGCGGCGGGAAGAGGACGAGGGGCCCTCCTCCTCTCCCCTCTTCACCCTCCCCTCTCCAGTATATTGAAACACTGAGCTGTTAAAGCATTTGAGTTGCTGATTCGCCGAATTCCGAATTGCTGCTGAAACTGTCATCCGTGTTTTACTGAATATCTGAGTGGCAAAGCTGCCGCGATCCGAATTTCTGAGGTAGTGGACCCTCGTTTTGTTGAATATCTGAGTCACAGAGCTGCCGATATCCGAATTTCTGAAGTAGTGGGCCTTTTCCTTTGTTGAATATCTGAGTTGCTGAATTGTGTATTTCCGATGTCCTGATCTAGTGACCGCTGTATTGCTGATTTGCTGAATGCTGATCTCGGCGCCCTTTAAAGGTTGCAAGGCGTCCGCGCCCATCAAGGTATGCTGTTGACACGACGTTGCTGACATTGCGCTGTTGATTTTACGCTGTTGACACTACGCTGTTGACGCTACGTTGTTGACACTACGCTGTTGACAATACGCTGTTGACACTACGCTATCGACACTACGCTGTTGATCTGATCCACCGTCCAGGCGTACCTTCGAGGAGGAGAATGTGGAGGAGGAAAGGGGGACAGCACTGGACACATCGTTCAGGGAGGTCAGGCGTGGCCTCGAGAGAGAGCTGGCGCCAACCACCGAACACAGTGCGAAGGGCGGCGCGAGGGCGCGCGAGGAGCACCCGCGGAGCGGGCATGCGCGATGCCAGGTGACCTGGTGAACTTCAGTTCAACGGAGACGACGACGGCGACGACGACGGTGGCGGCGGCGACGGCGGCGGCGGCGGTGACGGCGGCGGCGACGGCGGCGGCAAGCGCAGGGGCCTCGCTGGAGCGTTCTCCCGGTGCATGGATCTGTATATCGTGCGGGTGCTTTGGAGATCAGCAGTGGCGTGGTCTTGGATCAGCAGTTGCGTGTCTTTGGGGATCGGTATGTGGAGCCCCACCGTCGTGTGTATATCTTACTCGGGTGGCGGTGGGCCTGTGGCCGAAGCGGCTCAGTCAGGCTGAGAAGCGTCACCACGGTATGCAGTCCCCCCTTCAACGGCAATGTCGGATAGCTCGCTGCTCAACGCCCGCGTCGGCGGATCACCTGCTCCTGTCTGCGCCCGCCCGGTGGCGGGGGGCGGCGCCGAGCAGCCCCGTCTGCGCAGCCAAGCGGGGGGGTCACCGCGGTGATCCTCGAGGCGTGGCGGGGACCCGCTGCCCACGCAGGGGGGGAAGGAGCATGAGAAGGAGGAGCCTCCGGGGGGCCGTGCCCAGGGCACTTTGCAGCACTGCTGGCCTCCCAGGAGAGGTACTGAAGCGGAGGAGTAATTTAGAGCATTCGTTCTTTCCTGGCCGCCGCTGCCCTGGGTGGAAAGGAGGAGGAGGAGGAGGAGGAGGAAAAGGAGGACGAGGAGAGAAAGAGTAGGGCACGAAGACAAGCAGAAATGCAGAAGCAACGATTCTTCGGTCCGCGCGGATTTCTTGGGTCAGCGCTGGACCCTCCCTTGGTGCGCTCCGCGTGCCAGGTAGCGGAGTCCAGCGCCGATCCAGAAGATCCGCGAGGATCTCTGGCAGTTTGTGTAAGGTGGACTTTCTCCTTCCAGGAGGGAGGAACGGAGGGGACGTTGAGGGGAAAGGAGGAGGAGGAGGAGAATGGAGCAAGAGGAAGGGCTCCCAGGGTCGAGGAAGGAGAACAAACAGAGGCCTGCCCCGGGGCTTCGTCGAGTTCGTGAAGGCGTCGCTGGCCGAGCTGGCCGTGGAGCAGATGTCGGACGAAATGTTCGGCGCTGCGGGCATCTTCGCCTCTCACGTCGCGCAGGAGGACGGTGGCGACGACGGCGGCGGCGGTAGCGGCGGCGACGACCCTCTGATCCCTTCCTCGGGGGCGCCCGAGAGGCAGGTGAGGACTAGAAGTGTTTGTGTGTTGTGTGTGTGTGTGTACGTGAATGTGTGTATGCGTGCGTGTTTGCGTGCGAACGTACGCGCGCGTGTGTGTGTGTGTGTTTGTGTGTCTGTGTGTCTGTGTGTCTGTGTGTATGTGTGTCTGTGTGTGTCTGTGTGTCTGTGTGTCTGTGTGTGTGTCTGTGTGTGTCTGTGTGTGTCTGTGTGTGTCTGTGTGTCTGTGTGTGTGTCTGTGTGTTTGTGTGCCTGTGTGCCTGTGTTTCTGTGTGATTGTGTGTGCGTGTGTTTGTGAATATGTGTGTCTGTGTGTGTCTGTGTGTGTCTGTGTGTGTCTGTGTGTGTGTCTGTGTGTGTTTTTGTGTGCGTGTGTGCGTGCGTGCGTGCTCGTGTGGAGGAATCATGGCCGGGGCCAGGATGGCTCCCAGATTGCCCTTGCTGGCACCCCCATCGGCCGCGCCCTCCTCCTCCTCCTCCAACTCCTCCTCCTCGTCCTCCTCCTCATCTTCCTCCTCCTCCTCCTCCTCCCCCCCCCCTCGTCGTGGCCCCCATCACCCCTTCCGCGGTGCGCCCTACCAGGATTCCGGGGCACCACGAGGGCGTCCCGCCCTGGGGCCCGATCCACCGGCGTCGGCGGCGGCGGCGACGGCGACTGCGAGGGCGGCTGCGGCGGCGACGACGACGGCGGCGACGGCGGCGGCGGCGACGGCTCCAGATGCGAAGGCGACGGCCTCGACGGCGGCGGCGGAGGTGGCCTAAACGGCGGTGGCGGCGACGATGACGCCGAGGACCGCGACCACCTCGCCGGCCTTTGGGCGGCCGTCTCGTCCGCCCCCGTGGCGGAGGCAGAGAGGGCGACCGACAGGTCGAACGAGAAGGGGGGGAGGGAGCCCGACTTCCTCGCGTCGAGGTGCGAAGTTCCAGGTGTTCGAGGTGTTCGAAGTTCCAGGCGTTCGTAGCTCGAGGTGTTCGAGGTTCGAGGTTCTCTCGCCTCGGGATGCTTCTCAGCAGTTGCGCGTCGTCGAGGGCGGTCTGGGGGCACCCTGTTCCCGGGCGGCTGCCAGAGACTGGTGCTAAGCCAGGCCCCCTCAAGTCAAGGACCGAGAGGTCGACCAAGATGTCGACCGAGACGTCGAGGGAGCGAGGGGGGCGAGGGGGGGAGGCTCGAAGCGACGCGCCGCGAGCCCTGCAGTCGTCATACATTTGACCGAGCGCGCTCCACTACCCGCAGAGTGCCGACTCGTAAGCGTCCAAAGCATACGGTAGGTTTGCGTCGTGTCGACCAGCGGCGACCCCAGCGCGGGCGTTCAAGGTTGAACGCCGCTGGCGACCCAGAATCGATCGATGTTGAACGATCGGACGTTTCGGAAACGGCCGATCGTTCAAGGTTGAACGATCCCCGCGGTGTCAGAAACCAACGCCGGGGTGGACACGACGCGAACCTGCCGTACATGTCTGCCTCGATGTATAGTGCATCGTAAATCCACCACGGCGGATCCAGGCCACTTGCGAGCAGTTACTCCGCGAGCAGTGGAGCGCGCTTGTCGAGACATCGACGTGGGGCGAGAGGCTCGGAGGAGGGCCGGGGGAGACCACGGCGTCTCTCCCGCCTGGCCCAGGACTCGTTCGGAATCAGCTTCGCATCCCCTCCTCCTCCTCCTCCTCCTCCTCCTCCTCCTCCTCACCCCGTTCTGCGCAGCGGTGTTCCGCCCGTGGCGGCGAGACTCCCCCCGGGAGAGGCCCGGAAACGACGAAACACCCCGGGAGAGGCCCAGAAAGGACGAAGCACGCCGGGGAGGCCGCCGTGGTCACGACCGGCTTCCCCAGAGTCCAGAACCGATCCGGGGTGAGAGGCTGCCCCAGATGTCAGCGGCACCCTAACGGGTAATCGCTCACCAACGGGCAGTTTCGAAAGTTACGGAAAGCTGCCATTTTAGGGCCTTTCTCTCTGGCATTGCAGCGTTGCCCACATCTGAGAGGGTTGGGTTCGCCGGGTCACTGGCCAAAGTACCCGTCAGTGGAGCTCCGTCAGAGGGTCGCTGGGAATAGATCCCTGCAAGGGTCTGAGGGAGCAGATCTCATCGGCTCTTCCGTCGGGACCAGGAGCCACAGGCGGTCAAACGGTACAACCTGTAGCGGTGTGGTGCGATGCGACCTTGTAGGCGAGGTCGGTCTGTGAATCTGAGTGCGCGCTTTCAGAGAAAACCTCTTTGTTCAGTCGGTGCCTGCATCGGAATGTGTCGCCATGAACAGGTGTGGCCCTGAGGGAAGCGGGTCCTGAGTTTTTTCTCCGTTTGCGACATCTTGGGGCTTTCTACGGGCCCCAGGGTTGTCAAACAATCGCTTGAGATGGTAAGCTCGCCCTGGGGGAAGGCCCCGGGATCCAGGACCCGTCTCCCTCAGGACCCGTCTGTTTCATGTTAAAATGGATTGACGCACGCCGCTTCGGGCATTTCCCCCCCCCCCAAGGGCAGGCGCTTGCACCGTTTGCTGCGATTGCAGTGAGTTGCGCAACGACAATAAAGAACACCACTCCAGAATAACTGGGGGAAAGCCAGAATCACTCAAGAAACAAGCGGCCCCTTCCAGAATCACTCAGGGCCCTGGCTGGCCCTCCTAACCGCAACAAGCCCGTGAACGCGGACGTCACAGTACCAGCCAGAAGCACCTCCTTGCCCCATGTGCGATTGGCAACGCCCCATGTCAGCGCCGATCTCAAAGGTTCGCTCTTGTTCTGGGGGCGCATCCCTCACGCTGTCAACGCCTCCGGGCTCGGCAGTCTTAGGGATAGGAATGGGCAGGAGGCGGTTGAACCGTTGACTGGCCACACCTGCTGCGCGGCCTTGGGGAGAGGTCGGCCGAGCGGTCGCGGGCGTCGGCGGTGGCGGACGCGAACGACCTTGCCGACGTCCGCTGGCTGAGGCTGGAGGACTCCCTCCTCATCCGCCTCCTCGTTCCTTCCCTCCTCCTCCTCCGTCCTTCCCTCATCCCTCCTGCCTCTTGCCCTCCGTTCCCTCTGGGACTTCGTCCTGGGACTCCAGCTCCAACTCCAGCCTCCCTCCGTTCCCTCCGTCCCTCTTCCCTCCTCTGACTCCGCGGTGGTGTGTCGGGCTCTTTTTTTCTGATCTGGGAGACAGACCTGCCCAGAGTTAGTCAAGCCCAGACGCCTGGCAACGGCTCGCTCGGCCGAGGAGGTAAATTCGGATGCGGACGAAGGTTTCGAGTCGTCTTCCTCATTGTCCTCCTCCGCTTCTTCCTCCTCCTCCTCCCCTTCGTCCTCCTCCACCTCCTCTTCCGCCTACTCTTCCTCCTCCTCCTTCTCCTTCTTCTCCTCCTCCTCCTCCTTCTTCTCCTCCTCCTCCTCCTCCTCCTCCTCCTCCTCCTCCTCCTTACTCAAATAGGACTCACGCTCGCCCGCCGCCACCATCGCGGCTCAAGCGTGCACGCGTCATTTGCTAGTAGGTTAGTATATGAGGTTACCGATAAGAGCCATTCGTATTTCCATTGTTGCCATGCCAATCACCACTGCTAATCGCGTAATCCCAGTTGGCAGCGGAGCTGGTGCAAGCCAGCTCCAGTATAGATCCACAGAACTCTGCAGAGGGCGATCTGGACGCATGTTCGCACTTCCCTGACACTCTTCCCTGTCTGTGTTTTTGTTCCGTGTTATATTCGCTGTTTACCAGTTCGGCTAGTGCGAGCTGCCGTACTTATTCTTCTGGCTTTCCCTCGAGGCGGGCTCCGACGGTGACTTCACCATCGTCCACACCGCCACTCTTCCAAGATGAGGCCCTCAGGCATGTCGCTGGCACCTGCTGCTGTCGTGCCGCACATTGCCCAGACGCCCTGTCAAAGGTTCTTCCCCGTGCAGCAGGGGAGTGGCCCCCGCCTGCGTGCTGCGCGACGGGCGGCTCTTGCCACGACCATTTGCCAGCGCCACCACAGGCACGCAGCCCACTCACACAGGCAACGAGGTAGCAATGCTGAGTGCGAATGACAGGCAATCGCGGCATAGCTGCACCTCCCGCTTGGCCACATGGCCTATTCCCTCATGTTCTTGTGCATGCTGCGCGCCCTGCCGCTCGGACGCACCATGCACGGAGCCTGTAGCTCCAGGCATGTTGACACGTCTGTCCCTCGGCCGTAGGACTGCGTTTACGCCTGTCGCTGTGTCATTCGGCCTAGGCGCGCGGCCACGCAGCAGCCTGTGCACCCTCTGCCACGCCGGCTTCGGACAGAGAAGTGCGCACGGTCGCCCCGTCTGGCAGCTGCCCCATGAGTCAGGACCCGCTGGTGGGGAGCACGCCTGCGCATGGTCCGTGCGCGGCGGCGCCCGCCTCGCGGTGCACGCCACCCTTCCCTGAGCCAAGGAAGGAGGGGTTGTGGCAGGGAGCTGAGAACAACTCGTTCCACCACTCGGCCAAGGAGGCTGGTGGGATTCTGATTCTGCCCTGGTTCGAATTTCGGCCTAATCCCGGTTAATCCCGCTCAGTCCCGCTTAATCGGGCTTCATCCCGCGCAACCCTTCCTAATCCTCCATTGGGGCTCCATCCTCCCTAATCCTTCCGACGGAGACCCCCTGTGGTTGCCCTCTCACTGATCCAACGGTTCTGATTCGATGCCCTCGCCGTACCTCTTGGAATTTGGCTGGATAGGTGCTGTCCAGCGGACTTGCCGGATCGGTGCCGCAGCGCGTGCGCCTCTGGCCACCACGCAGAGGGGAGTGCAGTCGGACCGAGGTGCAAGATCCAGGTCGGATCGGGGAGGGCACCCTCGTACTCCCCGTGCTTGCCAGATGCTCCTGCGCATCCTCGGGGAGGGTGCCCTCGTGTGTTCTGTGCACCTTGGCCAGCGGAGGGTCTCGCGTCCTCGAGGGATGCGTTTTTGTTTCTGGCCCAGGGCCGCCTGCAGGGGGAGGGGGGGGGCGGGGAAGGCTTCTCCGGAGGCTGCTGCGCCTTCGCGGGCGCGGGCCTTGTCTGTAGACGTGGGGCTGGTGTTTTCTAAGAAGCAGCCGCTTTCTTAGAGGCCTTCCCCCCCTCCCCCCCTTGTGCGCGCCGCCGCTCGTCCTCGGTTTCATCTTTGTCGTCGTTGGCGTCCCCGTCCTGGACACCGCCTTCCAATGTCATGCCGCGGCCCTCGGGAGCCGCGCGTGCCGCCTCCTGCTCGCTCCGACGGGCGGTTGTGCGATGCCGCGTTCCTGCTCTCCATCACCCCTTTTTGTCCTTTTATGCGCTTACGGCTTTCCTCGTCCAACCCGCGTCTGGTCCCAATAGTGCGGTCCACGTGCGTGCGCGATTTGCCGGCGGAATTTCCCGCGATCGATCCCGCAACCACCTCCACTCAGTGCGCCGCGCAGCTTCGGCCCGGGGGGGCGCGCCCCCCGTGCACGACGGGGCTCTGCGGCCGATGGATGGGCTGCGTTGGAGGCGCATTTGTTTGCTCTCCCCAGCTTCCGCCAGACGGCCTTCCATTTACCCGCTCAGCTCAATTCTTTCTTCCACCCTCATCCCTCCTCTCCTCCTCTCCTCCTCTTCTCTCCTTTCTCCCTCATCACAATCACCACCATCATCGCCACCATCATTACTCATCTCCTCCTCCTCCTCGTGTCCCTCCCCCCCCACCCCGAGTCTTCATACCTTCTCCCCCCTCTCTCCCGTCTCCCTCCTCTGCATCCTGCCCCCTCCTCCTCCCACCTCCTCCCCGCCCACCCGTCGCCATCCCCATGCCCCACTCTTCATCCTTCCTCTCTCTCTCTCTCTCTCTCTCTCCTCTCTGATGTCTCATGCCTCTTCTGGCTCCTCATTCGTCCACCTGCTCGCTATTCCTCGGTTATGTTTGACCTTTCTTCTCCGCCTCGCTATTCCTCCTCCTCCTCCTCCTACTCCTCCTACTCCTCCTCGCCCTCATTCTCCTCGTTTTTCTTGTTGTGTTTTTTGAGTTGAGCGGACCTAAGTGCGTAGATATTGCAGCGTCTGTGCTGTCGTTCCTCCTCATCCTCCTCTTCCTTCACGCCGCTCCTCCTCGCTCCTCCTCGCTCCTCGCTCCTCCTCTTCCTCCTCCTTCTCCTCCTTTTCCTCTTCCTCCTCCTCCTCCTCCTCCTCCTCCTCCTCCTCGCTCCTCCTCGCTCCTCCTCCTCCTCCTCCTCCTCCTCCTCCTCCTCCTCCTCCTCCTCCTCCTCCTCCTCCTCCTCCTCCTCCTCCTCCTCCTCCTCCTCCTCCTCCTCCTCCTCCCCCCGCTCCTCCCCCGGCTCCTCCCCCCGAACGCAGGGGAAGCCCGGTGGCAGGAGCCTTCATCCGGACAGAGGACCCCAGCGAGGCACTCACGGGGACAGCCCTCGCGGCGCCGCCCGCTCGGGTCTGGTGCATGTGCTCGGGCACTTTGCGCTGCAGCCGCTGCCCTGGCGGGTGTGGTCGCGACGCCGCCCCGTGCCCGCTGCCAGGGGTGCAGCACGAGCTTGGCCGCCCTGGGCGCCCCGCTGCTGTCCCCGCTGTGTGAGCGCATTAGGTCCTTCCCCTCCTCCCGCGGCCGCTTCTCTCTTCCCGTCTTCCCCTCTCGCACCCAGTCAATTCGCAATGCCGTCGCTCGGCTTGTTCCGAGCGCGCGTGCGGACTGCCTCTGCCGCGCTGCGACGTCGGGCACTCGTGGCGCGATTGGTTCCAACTTCGCTTTTTCGGCGGGATGCGCTTCGGCAGTCACGACTTGCGGCGTCGAACCGAGAGGAGGCATGCGACACAATGAGTCGGCCGCGTCATCCTCACATTCCCTTTCCCCTTCCCCAGAAGATGCGCTGGGGAAAAAAGGGGCACGACTGGCTCGCCTCTTTCTGGGGGGCCGTTGTTTAGCACGCTTTGGTCGAGTGGTTCGTTTGCTTGATCTGGCAGGGTGTCTTGACTCGCGCAAGGGATGGTCATTTCAAGCCGCTGGTTTCAGGCACCGTCCCGTTTAATTTCCCTCGACCTGCACAGTCCGCACCTTCCGCGCGGTAGGTGCCGCGCTGCCGCGGCCGCCGCTGCGGCCGCAGCGGCGGACACCGTCGAGGCCGCAGCGGCGGCCGCCGCGACCGCATCGCAGCGGCACTTTCCGCGTGGAAGGTTCCGAATGTGCAAGTCGAGGGTTGGACCGGAGTGGATCGCAGAAGGGGTCGTACTTTGAGCCAACCGTTAGAGGACTGCCAGTTGGCGCCCCCGGAGCTTCCCGGGCCGCCTCCGCCGCTGGCTGAGGGTGAGGATGAGCCGCCGCCCGAGTGCGGCACGCTGGAGGCCCGTGGGCGCCGCGCAGTACAGTCGTGATAAGGATGGGTAATCATCCCACGGGCACCCTTGCCTCCCTGCTCGTCGGTCCACTCCTGACCACTCTGGATGGCCAGCCCCGCTTGCAAAACTTCGACGTGGGCGTCCAAGGCGCTTACATCCTCATCGCGCATCTCGACTATCAGTTTTGACTGTAACGACCAGCCCATCACGAGGATGAGCAGCTTGCCAGGGGTTAGAGGAGGTCCTCGGTGGCGTTTTTCGTGGATGTTCGTCGGTTCCTGACGGCTTTCCAGCCTCGTGATGTCCTTCAGCAGCAGCGACTCGCTGCGAGGTTTCCCGTGATGCCTGGATCGTCCCGAACGGCCGCCAGAGACCCTAGTGATGGCCCAAAGTTGAGGGAGGAATATCGGGCCGAACGAAAGGGGGGGATAGGGAAAGGGGGGGTTACGAAATCTGCTGCACGCAGCTGGTTTCGGCCTCGCCGCCGGGCCCATTCCTCGATACATGGGCGCCTCCCGGCGCCGGGAGGCGCCGGGAAAATCAGCTACGTGAGCTGATTCTCAAACCCCCCCTTAGCTATCCCCCCCTTTCACCCACAGTCAAACAGGATCGCCAGGACGGGTTGCTTTCAAATGGCATTGCTGCACCCTGGCATCTGCGGCCCGCCGTGGGCCATCACCACTGGCCACTTTCGTGCAGAAGGCCTCAGCTTGGGCCTCCAGGGTCGCTGCGGCCTTGCCCCGCATCCCTCTGATCCTGTCGCGATGTGCGCCGTCCCTGCGAGGTGCACCCCCGCGCCAGCACTGCACCGGCCTCGCTGGGCGCCACCAGGCCGGAGCAGCGCAGACTCCTCCACGTCTCCCTCCTCCTTCTCCTCCTCTTCCTCCACCCATAGGTCAAGTGCGCTCCATCTCCTCCTCCTCCTCCTCCTCCTCCTCCTCCTCCTCCTCCTCCTCCACCTCCATCCATTGGTCAAATGCGGTCCATCTTCTCCTCCTCCTCCTCCTTCTCCTCCTCCTTCTCCTCCTCTTCCTCCTCCTCACCATCACCATCACCATCACCATCATCATCATCATCATCATCATCATCATCAGCAGCAGCATCATCATCATCACCATGATCATCATCATCAACATCATCAGCATCATCGTCATCCTCGTCCCGAGGCATGCTCTTCTTCAGAATGTTGGAACGGTTGTCGTCTTCCAACGGGGCATTTCCCTCACTGAAGATGAGTCCGTGTATGGGGCCCATGGTGAGGGAACTTGCAGGGAGAGTTTGTTGACATATCGCTGATAAGTCTTGGGTTTGCACTTGTCCTCCTCCTCCTCATCCTCGTCCTAATCCTCCCGAGGGGTGCGCCGCTTCAGCGAAACAGGAAACACGCTGCAATTCGGGCCACGTTGGGCTCAGAAGAAGCCGTAAGTGCTCGATCCATTTGTCCCGACCGCGAGGGCACGGATATGGGTGGGCGTTGCGTGATCGGGGGGGGTCATGAATGGGGCGGTGGCGAGGGTGGTCCGAAAAGGTATCAAAACGGCATCTGGACGAGCCCCCTGGGGCTCCGGAAGGGCCGAAAGGAGCACGAAAGGGGACCGTTTTTGACCCCCCCATTTATCGAGGGGGGACAGATCTCCTGACCTGACACGTCGATTCAGGAATTGGCCGTTTCCGGTTCGCGAGAGGGCGTCGCGGCTGTGATTTTTGCGGGTCCAAGTCCGTCGGTTTCGGTCCCAGGCTGTTTTCACTAAAAGGAGGTCTACTCACGGGAGGTTTGTCCACCGCCGAATTTATGATCCCCCCATTAAGCCACGCACAATATGGACACTATAAGCCCCAGGGCGTGCAGCCCGCGCGGGCTGCACCGCCGCCGACGGCGCCCTCTGCACCCCGGCGGGCGGGGCGGCGCCGCGGCCCTCGAGCCGAGCTGGCGTCCCGGGGGCGTCGCAGCCGTTCGATGCTCCGAGGAGGAGGAGGAGGTGGCCTTCGAGCAGGACAAGCAGCTCCGCCTGCAGAAAGTCGGCAAAAGAGCTACAACGCCGAGATCCTCAAGAGGGCCACCAAGCGCCTGAGTACCTTCCAGGTCCCCCATCCCTCGAGGCCCTATAACATGCTTGTGAAGGGTGCCCCATACCCCTACCCTTTCCTCGTTGTTCCTCTGTGTGGGCCTACTGGGCGGCCCTCGTCGCCACCGCTGGATTCGCCTCGAGGTTCTAGTCCGAGGGCACCTGGGGAGAGGTGGGGAGCAGTGGCGTCGGTCACTTGGTTTCGATGGATGCGGGTGTGCGCGCGTCGTTGGAGGCCGCCAAAATGAGGCCAGAGCGGACGGGGTCGATGACCCGATTCGTCTCGCCTTGGAGCGAGATTTTCTTCACGCCGACGTCAGGGCGCACGCGAGCCTCGCGCCGGCGCCCAGCAGTGCTGGTCGCTTGGGCGTTGCCGCTGGCCAGGGTGGTCTTGCCGTGACGAAAGCGGCGTTCCTCATCGCCGCAAAGGTGCAGGGGCGCTGCAGGCGCGCCGCTGCACACGGCGGGCGGCCCCCCGCGATCGCGCCCCAGTGGCCCGAAGTACTTTGACCTCGCCAGCGCCCGCGCGCCCCCAACGGAGCCGGCGACCCAGCAGGACGCGCGCACGGAGGACTCGTCTCTATGGAGCACCCGCTGTGGTCCCAACGTTCGCTGGGCGTTGCTCGGACGATCGTTGGCTCTCAGAGGCTCTCTTGCCGCGGGATGCGTTCCAGCAGCTGCGCTTTGCCGAGCGCGTTCCAGCGGTATCCCGATCGTCCCGAATGGCCGGCAGAGGCTCGAGGCGCGGGCCGAAGGCCGAGTGACCGTGCAGTGGAGTCACCTTTGGTGCGCGGCTTTCGGGGGACGCGGGTGGGGGGCAAAGCCCAAGCTCGAAGGCCGCTTCTGTCGCATCGCATGCAGCGATCGACAAGCCGCGCACCAGAGGTCGCTTTTGCCCAGGACCACTTCTGGCGCGCAGCCGAGAGACGCAGTCGCCAGCAGTTTCGTGAGCCGGGTCAGGGAGGCGGAGCAGCGCGCGAAGGCCTGGCGCGCGACAGTTCGCGTTTGGTCCCAGTCGACATCCCCGCGCTTTCTTTCTTTGGCGGCGAGCGAGGGCGGTGAGCGAAAAGGGAAGACCTTCTCAGAAACCTTCCCAGCTTCTAAGAGGCCCTCTTCGAATCACCAGGCCCTTCTGACAAGGCTCCTGCCTACCAAGAGCCCCCGCGCCTTCTCAGAGACCACCCCCCTCGCGCCGTTCCCTTGCCTGCGCCGCAAAATGAGCGACCGTCAGAAGTGGGTCTTATGCATGATGGCATGCCGACCTTACGCCGCGCCTTTCCCGGACCGCCAGCGCGGCACGCTACACTGGAACCAAGAGCGTCCACGAGCGACCTTACGCGCGAACGTCGGCACAGCCGAACCCGTTTTTACTGCGTCGCTCAGGTGGCGCGCGGAGGCCCCGCACACGCCCCTCTGGGGCCGCCAGCTCGCACCGACCGTGCCTTCTCGTACGACCCTGCTCCGCGATGCGTGCCCGCAGGCTGCTTTCAGCCGGCGGCGAGCCCGAGAGGGAAGCGAGAAGGAAAATGCCTTGTCAGAAGGCCCGGGCGCCCCCCCGGGCCTCCTGAGAGCTCTTCTGCGCCCAGAAGGCGCGAGGGCTTCCGAGGAGCCCCATCCGCCCTCTGAGGAGCCGCCGGCTTTCGTGGCCCCTCCGCCTCGTCAAAAGGCCGCCACCCTCGCGCCACCGCCTCTGCGCTCCGCCAAGCCATCGTGCGCCCTGGGTGTGCGAGTGCGTGCTCCGCGGCCGCTGCGTGGCACGGCGATGCCTTCACGGAGCTGACCCGCGCGGGAAGAAGAAGAAGAAGGAAAAGAAAAACAAGAAAACCAAACCTAACACGAAAACGAAGAAGAAAAAAACGACGAATAACAAGAAACATAAGAAAAATAATAAGAATACTAAGAAACAAAATCATAATCAGAGGAATAAGAAGAATAATAATAATATGAAGAAGAAGAAGACACGGTGCTCGTAATGTGCCGAAGGTCCGCGCGTTTTTTTTGTTGCGTCTGGGCTGGATTCCCCTGGCGGCGCGTCTGGCGCGGCCCCTGGCACGTTCTGGGCGCCTCGTCCGCGTCGTTATCATCGTCGCCGTGGCGGCACTGTCGTCGTCTGTCCCTCTCGCCTTGCACGCTGTCGCCGTCGCCATAGTCGCCCACGTCGTCGCTGTCATCTGTCCTCCTCGCCGTCGTCTCCGACCATCTCCTCCCCATCGCCGCCGTCGTCGTTGTCGTCGTCGCCGTTGCCGTCCTCCTCCTCGCCGTCGAGATCCTCCTCCTCGCTCTCGCAATCCTTCCCGTCGCCGTCGTCGTCGTCGTCGCTGTCCTCCTCCTCCTCCTCCTCCTCCTCCTTCTCCTCCTCCTCCCCCTCACTCCTCCTCGCCGTCACCGACGACATCCTCCTGCTTCTCCTCCTCGTTCTCGCCGTCCTTGCTGCCGTCGTCTCCCCCTCCAGGCCCTCCCCCCGTGCGGGCGCGCCTCTCCGGCCGTGGCCCTCGACGTGGCCCCGCCGGCCGCACAACCACTCGCACGGGCTGAGGCTCGAGGACCGGAGGGGAGGGCTCTCTCTGCAGAAGGCATCTACACACCACCACCGCGTCTGGCCAGGGCAGTCCTCGGCCTTGGCATGGTGCATACGCCCGCCCGGCCGACGCCAGGAGGGTGTCTAATACGCCGTCCTGGGGCCTGGGGTGAACCTGGGCAGACACGGTGGTGGTGTACAGATGCGTTTTGCGCGTTCTCGTGGGGCCACGGCCAAGGCAAGCAACCGCCGGGGCTAGGTTCCCGGCTGGATCACGCTCCCGCAGGGAGCCCACGTCCCCTGCCTGCGGCAGGGCGCTGGACAGCGGAGGCGCGCGCGGGTGCGCGCGGGGGAGGAGAAGGATCCGTGCTCTTCCCTCGGGGTATCCTGCTGGCCTGTGCCGATCTGCCTCGCCTCTTCACTTCGGCGGTTCGGGACACCTGGTCCGCTGTGGGTGCAATTGTATGGAGAAAGAGGGCCAGGGCGATGCTGATGGCGGTGATGACGATGATGATGATGATGATGATGATGATGATGATGATGATGATGATGATGATGCTGATGCTGATGCTGATGCTGATGCTGATGCTGATGCTGATGCTGATGATGATGATGATGATGATGATGATGATGATGATGATGATGACGAGGACGAAGAGGACAACGACGACGAAAACGGCGACGACGACGACGGCGGCGGCGACGACGACGATGATGGAGATGGCAACGACGACGACGATGATGACGATGACGCTGATGAGGATGATAATGAGGATGATGATGATGATGATGATGATGATGATGATGATGATGATGATGATGATGTTATGATTGATGATGATGCTGATGATGATGATGGTGATGATGATGATGGTGGTGGTGATGATGGTGATGAAGATGAAGATGATGATGATGATGATGATGATGATGATGATGATGATAATGATGATGCAGATTATGGCGACGATGATGATGATGATGCTGATGATGCTGATGACGGCAATGGCAATGATGATGATGATCTTGATGATGTTGGTGGTGATAAGGGTGATATATACTGGTAGTGATTATGGTGAATATCTTGACGCTGACCACGATGATTATGATGATTATGCTGATCATGACGACGATGATGCTGATGATGATCATAACCATGACGATGATGCTGGTGATGATTATAATGGTGTTGATCGTGATGATGAGGATGATGATATTGACGATGATGGTGATGGGGATCACGACTATGATGATGATGATGATGATGATGATGATGATGATGATGATGGCGGTGGTGGTGGTTTGTGGTGGTCATAGTTTTGACGACTATGGTGATGATTATTATGATTATGATGATGATGATGATGATGATGATGATGATGCTGGTGATGGCGATGTCGATGATGATGGTGCCGGTGGTGAGCATGATGATGATGGTGACTATGATGATGATGGTAATGACGATGATGATGATGATGATGATGATGATGATGATGATAATGTTGATGATGATGTTGATGATGCTGGTGATGCTGATGATGATGATGATGATGCTGATGATGATGATGATGATGATGATGATGGTGGTGGTGATGATGATGATGATGATGATGATGATGATGATGATGATGCTGTCGCTGATGCTGACGCTGATGCTGATGCTGATGGCGATGATGCCGACGAAGGTGAGGATGGTGAGGATGGTCATGATGGTGATGGACATGGTTATGGCGATGAATGGCGACGACGGTGACGATGACGACGATGGGAAGAGAGGGAGGGGGCGAGGGTGACCCGATGGCGTTCGTAAGGCCGCTTCCACGAAGCAGGGCATGCGAAGCCGATTTTTGCGGGAAGTGATCGAGAGTTCTTGGGAGGGCGGCCAGCGACCCGAACATATCGGGCCGTCGGGGCTCGGGGTATCGTCAGGGGCGACGTTCGGGGGCGATGGGGCTCACGGGGGGATGCATCGACCCCCGATCGACCATTGCTCACCGATAGGGGCTTGATAGCGCACCCCGTCCAGGAGGATTTGGCGATGTAGCGCCGACTCCAGCTCGAGTTGTTCCCGCTGAGCTGGTCACCCACTATCGTTGCCTCTCTGGTCCTCAGATGGGAGAGAGGCGGGAACAGGATAAGAGAGCATCCTCTTATCTTATGGTGATTCCCCTCTCGGTACGGAGGAAGCCCAGCGGGTCCGTGCCAGCCCGGGGCGCGCCGAGGGAACGCCTGCGGGGAGGACCCTGGGGAGCGCTCGCGGGCTTCTGGGACCGCGACTGTGAACGCCCGCAGCAGGAACGCCCAGGAGCGCTTGGAAGCGGCGGGGAGCCCGATGCCTGGACAGCGCAGTTGTGCACCTGGACGCAGCCACTCTGAGTCGATCTCGGCGACGTGCGATGCAGCAGGATGCGGCGCACATTCCGAGTCGATCTGATCTCCCGATTTGCCATGATGCCCCAACACTGACGTCCTGTTCTGCTCACGACCTGGACCCCCGAAGGCCTGGACCCGTTTGGGGGACGGCCCTGGGGCCTGGTGAGAGCCCCGCGAGGCCGAGAATGGCCAGACACACTCCACGCCGTTTTGTTTTGTGCCGTTGGGCAGATTTGAATCCTCAGATTGTAGCGTTCTGGGTCTGCTCCTCCTTCCTCTCTCCCCTCCCAGGCCCTCCACGGCAACGGGGGGTCCGTGGCAGCTGCGCAGGTCTCCCTCGCACCGCGCTGGGCCTAAGCAGCAGGCCTGGAAAAACGTTCGAGACCCTGCGGCAGCAATCGCCCTCTGTGTGCGCATGTGCTGTCCCTCTCTGCCATTGCGCCGCCCAGGCGCGGCTCCTTCGCCGAGGGGTCCTGGGTTCGATGCTGGGGCTGCGCCGGTGAGGCGCCTGGGGGTCCGCCAGCGGCAGCAGTGTCACATCAGCGGCCCTGGAGTCTCACTACTGGATAACGGCCCACATTTCCGCCCCTACCAGCCCGCCTGTCTCAGGCTATTTCCGATCCACTCGCTTGCGGATGCTGTTGTCGCTGGGGTGTCCGATCAGTTCTCTGCCCAGAAGACAGGCAAACCAAACAAGGAAAACGGCCCTGGATGGGTCGCAGCACGCCCTCCCGCGCGCACACCCGTCCAGCCCGTGCCGACCGTGGCGTTCTGTCTGCCTTTCCCAAGGAGGAGGAGGAGGAGGAGGAGGAGGAGGAGGAGGAGGAGGAGGAGGAGGAGGAGAAGGAGGAGGAGGAGAGGAGGAGGAGGAGGAGGAACGAGGACGAGGAGGAGGAGGTGGAGGAGGAGGAGGAGAAGGAGGAGGAGGAGGGATGGAGGAGGGAGGAGGGGGAGGGGGAGGGGGAGGGGAGGAGGAGGAGGACAAGGAGGACGAGGAAGAGGAGGATGAGGACGAGGAGGAGGATGAGGAGGAGGAGGAGGAGGAGGAGGAGGAGCAGGAGAAGGAGGAGACACCGCGGGCAGAGATCGAGGCTTCGGGGGCGGCCCCGGAGGGGGCCGAGGATCGAGGAGGGGGGGGGCATCGAGGATCGCGGGCGCCAGGATCGAGGCCTCTCGGGGGGCTCCGGGGATCGAGGAGGGGCGAGGGGATCGAGGATCGCGGCTCCGAGGCTTCTGGGGGGCTTTGGGGATCGAGGAGCAGGAGCGTCGAGGAACGAGGGTTCGCGGATGGATCGAGGCCCTCTTGTGCAGGTCTGTGGGCGGCTCCTGTCCCGCCCCCCACCTGTCCGCCTGCCCAGCCGCGCCCCCGCGACGCGGCGCGCCCAGCAGTCAGCCCGCATCTGATGTCGAGGTCGCCGTCGCCGTCACTCGTCGTCGCCTCTGTCGTCCTCGTCCTTGCCGTCCTTGTCGTCCTTGTCGTCGTCGTCGTCGGTCGTCGTCGTCGCTAGCGTCGTCGTCGTCTTCGTCGTATTCGCCGTCGTCTTCGCCGTCGTCTTCGTCGTCCGTCGGTGTCGTCGTCGGCGGTCGTCGTTGTCGCCGATGGTTGTTGTCTTCTGCGCTGTCGTCGTCGTCTTCGTCGTCGTCGTTGGTGGTTCGTTGTCGTCGACATCGGTCGTTATCGTCGTGGACGGTGATGTGGTAGTTGTCGTCGAGGCCGAGGTCGTGGTCTCCTTCGTCGGTGTCGCCTCTGTCTTGGCCAAGGCCGCGGTCGACCGTCGCGAAAGCTCGAGCTCGAGCTCGAGCTCCAATGGCTCTTGCTGTTCATTTGCAGGGGGAACGGCGCAAAACCTCCGTTTTGCTTTTTTCAGTACGTTGAATAGTTGGGCTCTGAGCGCTGCCAAAAAGTCGGAGGAGGAGAAGGGTTCATCCCCCTATCCTTTTCCTCCGCGTCCTCCCTCTCCTCTCCTTTTGTCCTCCTCCTTCTTGTCGCAACTGCTCTGTGGAGTTGTTGTGCAGCCCACGGTCTATAGCATGAGTTTGCGTATTTCAGGCCGGCTTGTCCGGTGTTTCCGGTTTGCTTAGCGACCTTCTGATTTGCACGATGTGGTTGTGACACCTGTGGGGCTTTGCGTGGGAAAAAAGACGTCGGAGCAGAAGCTGGAGGAGGAGGATCGGCGGCGAGCGAGGGGGGGAAGTATGAAGGAGAAGGCCTTCTCAGAAGGCGGCGGGGAGTCTCAGAAATTGTCCGACCTTCTGAAAAAGTGGTATGTGCCGTCGCGGACGGCTTACATAGAAAACTTGTCAGAAGGCCAGCGGACTTCCGAGCCTTCTGAGAAATATTATCCTTCTCTTTTCCCCCCGAGCTCGCTGCCGAGAGGAGGAGGAGGAGAAGGAGGAGGAGAAGGAGGAGAAGGAGGAGGAGGAGGAAGAGAATTTGGAGGAGGAGGAGGAGGAGAAGGAGGAGAAGGAGGAGGAGGAGTTGGAGGAGGAGGAAGAGGAGGTGAATTGAGGAGGAGGAGGAGGAGAAAGAGGAGGAGGAGAACGAGGTTGTGCCACCCGTGGTGCTTCGCGTGGGAAGAAGTCGTCGTCGTCGTCGTCGTCGTCGGAGGAGGAGGAGGAGGAGGAGGAGGAGGAGGAGGAGGAGGAGGGCGAGGAGGAAAAGGAGGAGGAGGAGGGTAATGCTCGGCCGAGCGCTCCCGCGACTGCCGCCGCGTGCGGGCCCCTCACGGCCGCCCGCTCCTGGCGACTCGGGAGCCGTCCGGCGACGGTTCTGGACTCGCGACCTGTTTGGATGTCTCGTGAACCCAGCTGCGGAAGAAGCTCCGCCGATCCCGAACTCCTCGCCGACCTCGCCGAGCTCGGCATCCGAGAGCGGCGGGATGCAGCGCGGGACGTCCACGCAGCTTTGAGGCTCCGCTCGCGACCTTTTTGAATGTCTTGTGAACCCAGCTGCGGAAGCAGGCTCCGCCGATCCCGAACTCCTTGCCGACCTCGTCGAGCTCAGTACCTTATTCGTGAATGTAATCGGTTTTAGGGTTTTCACAAATGGTCGCCGCCACGCAGAGGGCGTGCGTAGCGACGCCGCAAATGCTCGGTCTCCAGTACTTCTACGTGGCGGCGCCCCCGCAGGCACGCAGAGGGCACGCGTGGCGACGGGGGCGTCGCCACGCAGAGCTTCTAAAGACCCAACATTTTGAAAACCAATTGTTCCCACTACTCAAGTATCCGAGAGCGGCTGGATGAAGCTCGGGACATCCACGCAGCTCTGAGGCTCCGCTCCACCAGCGTCGCGCTCCGACAAAAATCCTGGAACACGTCGTGTAACGGCCCGCCCGCCGCCTCCGGGTGTAGCCGCACCACCGCCGGCCCCGATCGTGTCGAGGATGGTGTCCGTCATCGGCCTCCACTCCACCTCCTTGTGGTACCATGTGGTCCTCCATATGTGGTGGCATGGCTATCCATGGGCAAGTGGGTGTGCCTGTCTGCCACGCCGGGTCTGCCGGGCGTGTCTGGTGGGGCCACGCCGGGTCTGCCGGTAGCCACCGCTACGGGCATCTTCCCTGCGCCAATCTTCCAAGCTTTCAGTTGCAGACAGGACATGGTGCCACAGAGCGAGTCGAGTCGAGTCGAGTCCTTGTGGTACCTGGTTGTCTCGACCTTCGTGAACGCTTCAAGATTCTGCTCCCACACCTGCGCGAAGGCCCCGTCGGACGAGTGGCCTCCGCTGCTTCCTTCCCCGTCCAGTTTCGGGAGCTTCGGGATCGGGCTTAATTTCCCTGCGCCCACGCCTCCATGATCACTGCCGTTTCAGGACTCATCCGCATCGCACGCATCCCCGATGTAGTAATGGTCCACCTTGCCACGCCCCGCAATGGCCCCGTCGCCACCCTTGCCGTTCTCCGCCGGATCCCCTCTCGGGGCGAAGTGGATGTCCGGCTCGATGCCGCACTCGCTCAGTCTACCAACCACGGAGTGCGACATCGATGTCTTCTCATCGATGTCTTCTCCTTCCTTTCCTTCCTCTCCTTCTTGCTCGCCTTCTCCTGGGTGCTGGTGGCCTCGATCAGCAGCGGCCGATCCCCGATCCACTGCTGCGGCGGGCCCCCCTTTGCCTCCTCCTCCTTCGGCGTGAGCATCGCTTTGATGTGCCACAGCCCTGGCGGCGGAGATGGCGGCTCGCTCTTGGTCGCCGCGCGGAGGCCGATCTCGTTCGTCTCCCGCAACCGGTCCGCGATGGCCAGGAGACTCTGCGGCTGCGGCGCCATCGGAGGACGTGGCGCCACTGGTGTTGCAGACGGCCGCGGGCGCGCCCTGCCTGAGCTGACTGCGACCGCCTGCGCTGCCACCGAGACCGCCGCATGGACCGCAGCTTGTACTACGTCCGCAACTCGGTCTCTTCCATGAGCACGGCTGGGCGCCCTCTGTCACTGGCGTCTGCCTCTAGCGCGCCGAATCCGCCCCCTCGCTTGTAGCCCACGCCCGCCATGGCATGGATAACTGCTGGCTCGGGAGGGCTGCGCCCCTTCGAATCGCGCCCCCCTCAACCCACCTCGGGCGAAAGGGCTTGGAGAAGGAGGAGGAGGAGGAGGAGGAGGAGGAGGAGGAGGAGGAGGATAATGAGGAGGAGGAGGAGGAGGAGATGGAGGAGCAGGAGGAGGAGGAGGAGGAGGAGCCTCCGCAGGACGTGTGCGGGAGGCGCTGGTGCAGCGCCGACGCGCCCGGGTCGGACAGCGCGCCGCCGCGCGTGAGGCAGCGGCTCGCGCCGGCGCCTCAGGATCTCGGCGCGAGGCGCGCCAGCCGCGGGTTGGGCCTCGCCGCCGGCCTCGCGGACCCCGCCGCCGATGGGGGCGCGGCCTGGTGATCTCTTGGCGTTCTCGCTTCGGGGGCTCTCTGGGGGCTGCTCCCACGGGTGGCGAGCGAGGGGGGAAGTGAGAGGGAGAAGGCCCTATCAGGAGGCGGCGGGACTTCTCGGAAGCCCTCGCGCCTTTGAGAAGCTGCCAGTGTCCTCGGGGATGGCTAGGCAAGCCTCTCAGAAGGCCGGGGGGCGTCCGAGCCCTCTGGGACTGCCCGCCCCTTCGCACTGCCCCCCCATCCCAGACCGACTTGATGCGGAGCGCCGATTTTCTCCACGTCGACGTCGCCGATGCGTCGCTGACGTCGGCGATGCATCGGCAATACATCGGCGTTGCATCGCCGATGTATTGGCGGTGCGATGCTTTGACCCCATCTATTCGGACCCCATTTTGGAGACATCTATCTCAGACCTCGAGCCAGCGTGCTGGCAGAAGTCAGGGTGGAGGCTCTTCCATGTCTTTGGCCTCCAGGGGCCCTCGCCAGCCCCTGGAGACCGCCATCCGCGCGCACGGCCGCGCCGCCGACCGCGCGGACCGCGCCGCCGATCCTTGGCGCGGCCCAGTGATCTGGGCATGCTTGTTTTGGGGGCAGTCGGGGTCGACTGGACGTAAGCGTGACCCTTCGCCGAAGTGACCTGTGGGGGCCCCCAAAAAGCCGCGCACGAAGGGTCGTACCCAGGGTCACTCTTGCGTGTAGTCGGCTGAGCCGGCTGGGGGCTGCTTTGGCCACGCGCAGCGGGGGTAGGGAGGGAAGGCTTCTCAGAAGGAGGCTGTAGGAGGGAGGGAAGGCTTCTCAGAAGGGTAGGCAGGGGTAGGGAGGGAAGGCCTTGCATCCAGGTGAAGACGAGGCCCGCGCCTTCTAAGAAGCAGCCTCCTTGAGCCAGCGCGCTGGCAAAAGTCCGGATGGAGGCTCTTCCGCACATCTTGGGCCTCCAGGGACCCTCGCCGGGCCCCGGGGCCGTCCACGGAACGAGTCGGGGTGATCGATGGGGCGGCCGAGTGATCCGGGCGCGGCCCGGCTATCTGCCAGTAGGATCTCTTCTTCATGCGCCAGAGTACCGGTGGCCCGGCTCCGGGCTAGGACACCCTCCGAAATGCCCCCCACACACACTGTTCGGCACTGGAAGCCTGGACCCCTTCGGGGCCTCGCGGGCCTCCCTCCGGCGACGGAAGGCATACAAAATTTACCCGAGCGGTCCAACAGGGCCGAAGACGCCCGATGAAGAAGGCGATCTCCGCAAGTGGACCCCAGGAAGCCAGCATTGGTTCATTCCTGAGGGAAGCGTGCCTTTGTTCCGTTCCCGTCTTTGGGATGATAACAGCGTCCCAGACGGCCCAAGAGAATCCCAAGATCGCCTCAAGGCGGCCCCACGAGGGCCCCAAAAGCGGCCCGAGAGAGCCCCCAGACGGTCCAAGAGACGCCCAAGACGGCCCAGTGGGTCCCAAGAGGGGTCCCAAAGGGGGAAATCGAGCTCACATTTCGAGCCCTCCGCCACAAATTGGGGCCGCCCCCCAAAAAGGGCCCAAGATGCCTCCGAGAGGCCCCGAGAAGCTACTCGCTCCACGAGGCGCCCGAGAAGCGAGACCCCAAAATTGAAGTATCCAAGAAACCTCTGGCCCAATGTTCAGGCATGGTGGCGGTATGGGCCGAAGGCCATGGATCCGCCCACCCCACCAGTGGTCTTGCCACAGGGGTGCACGGCGTGCTGTACGTCTGGGAGGTGTTGGTTCTTTTCTAAGAAGAGTTGCCCCTAGGGCTTTGTCCCCTGAGAGCTGCAGAAAATCACCAGATCAACGCCTTCCCCGCTCCAAGATGGCCCAAGATGGACTCCAAGACGACCAAGATGCCCCCAACAGAGCCGAAGATACCCCCAAGACGCGCCCAAGTCGGTCTGAGATGCACCCAAGACAACCCAAGGTGACTGCGATAGGCTCAAGAGGGACCAAAAGCCACAAAGAGGCATCCAAAACGGCCGAGTCCCCCAAGACGTCTTGCCATGTTTTTGAAGGATTTTGACATTGACTTATTTCCAGTCATCAGGCAGCCCAAGACGACCCAAGAGGCACCCAAAATCACCCCAAGAGCGCCCATGAGTCTTCCAAGATGGCTCCTTATGACGGCCCAAGAGGCCCCTTAAACGGCCAGCGAGGGCTCTAAGACGGCCCGAAATGTTTCCAAGACGCCCGAGCTCGGCCCCCAGACTGCTCAAATGGCCCCAAAAGAGCCCAAGATGGCCCAAGATGTCTCCAAGACGGCCCAAGATGCACACAAGACGGTTTATGATGGCCTCGAGATGGCTCAATACGGCCCAAAAGTAGCCCTGGAGGCCTCGAAGAGGCCTCCGAGGCGGGCGAAGAGACCTCCAAGAGATCATACAGGAAGGCCAAGCTCGCCCTGATGTCGCCCAGGAGACTTCCAAAATGGCCCCAGGACGGCCTAAGAGGCACGGCGGCCCAAGAATTGTCATGGATCGCCCCAAGATAACCCAAGAGGCCTCCGACACGGCCCGCCGCATAACCGCCCAAGTGCCCCCCGAGACGGCCCCAAGAGGGACCACAGACGGTCCAAGGCGCTCAAGATGGCCCACCAAACGTCCATGATGGCCCCCAAGAGACCCTAAACTTTCCGCAAGATGCCTCCAAGACGGCACAATCTGCAGCCAAGACAACCCAAGATGGCCTCAAGATGGCCCAGGACAGCCCAAGAGGCCTCCAGGAGATCCTTCAGGAAGGCCCGAAGAGGGCAACATCGTTAATGTCCATGATGTGTTTGAACGATGTTGGTGTTTGCTCAGGTTCGGCTTTTCGACGGCGCAGATAGGCCGAGGAGGCCATCATGATGGTTCCACGAGCGCCCAAGAGGCCTCCAGGACGGCCCGAAGCGGGCCCCAAGACAGCCCACGCCATGTCCAAGGCGCCCAAGATGGCCTCCACGGCCCTGAATCGCTCCAAGAGGGCCGCAAGACGGCTCAGAGAGGCCCTCAAGGCGGCTTCCGACGGCGTCGGAGGGACCAGGAAGGCCCTCAGACGTCCACAGGGCTTCCCAGGGAGCCTCCACAGGCCCCAGGAGGCATCTCCCTCCTCCTCCTCCTGCTCCTCCTCCTCCTCCTCTTCCTTTTTTCCTCCCTCTCCTCCTCTTCTTCTTTCTCCCCCCATGTTCGCCGAAGGGGTTTCACAACGGCTGGGGGACCACATGGTCCAATAGGCTTGGCCGAGCTCTGGCCGCAACATTCGGCCTCACAGGCGCTTCCACAAAGGCAGGGGGCGCCAGTGATTCGCCGTACAGTGGAGGCCTATGCAAAGAAACACCCTGCTTGCCTCCAGGGTGCCCTGAGTTTCTTGGGTTTCAGTAGTTTTGCCATGGAAATGGCGATTTTTCTTTACCACAAATCGATGGACGTCCTGGGGTCTCAGGGTTGGATTTCTTGTGGGAGGTTTCTTGTGGATTGGCCTCCCCTGTAGGCGCTGTCGATCAGCAACCACATTGGCATGGCGACGGACCCCTCCCTAGGCAGTCCCGTGTGGTGCGCAGGGCGTGGAGCGGCGAGCTGCGGAGCAAGCGTGCACGGGCCTCGGAGCTCCGTGTGGGGCATGATCCGCGTGAAGGGGGTGCCGGATAGTCCTGGTGCCCCCTCCTCCTCCTCCCCCCTCCTCCTCCTCCTCCTCCTCCTCCTCCTCCCTCCTCCTCCTCCTCCACCCTCCTCCTCCCCTCCTCCTCCTCCTCCTCCTCCTCCTCCTCCTCCTCCTCTCCCCTCCTCCTCCTCCTCCTCCTCCTCCTCCGCCTCCTCCTCCTCCTCCTCCTCCTCCCTCCTCCTCGTCCTTGTCCTCCTCCTCCTCCTCCGCCTCCTCCGCACGATCCGCGTGAAGGGGGTGTCGGGTAATCTGGGTGCCCTCGCGCGAGCCCCTCCACTGAGGCCGCAGGTGGAGCTTCTGGTGGGGCACGACCCGTGGCCAGTGGACGCCATGCGAAGTTGCCTCTCGGTGCCATGGGTGGAGCTCGCTCCAGGGCACGATTCGCGCGAACGGCGAGCCGACAGGAGCGAAGAAACGGTTGGCCTATCTTGTCTCTGGGGCTGTGAGTGGTGCTCCCTGCGGGGCACCTCCCACGTGAGGGGTGTGCCGCAATGGGCGGGGAAGCGCTGTGCGAACCTTGTCTCCGGAGCCGTCAGTGGAGGTCCCTGTGTGGCACGATCTGTGTGAGAGGTGTGCCGAATTAGGCGGGGGGTCGGGATGCGAACCTTGCTTATGGGGCCGTGGGTGGAACTCCATGCAGTGCACGATCCGTGTGAGGGGTGTGCCGACGTGAGTGGGGCGATGCTATGCGAAGCTTCCCTCTAAGTGCAACTACCTGCGGGGCAGCACGATCCGCGTGAGGGGTGTTCCGCTATGCGATTGGGCCGTAGGTGGAGCTCCTTGTGGGGCACGATCCTTGTGATGGGTGTGCCGAGATGGGCGGGGGGCCATAGGTGGAGCCCCGTCAGGACACGGTCCGTGTGAAGGATGTGCCGCAATAGGCGCGGAGGCGCTATTCAGATATGCATGCCCACCATAGACCAGGTGATCCCACGCGGTGATCGTATTGGGATGGCGTGCGTACCCATCCGTGGACTGATATGACGGTGGCGTTGCTTGGATTAGAACATAAACGTGCGCGAAGTGCGCGCAATGTTCTAGTATCCATATCCACCGCCTCGGTGCGCCTGCCGCTCTTGGGGCGGCCGCGATCATGGAGATACGCATCTATCGCATGTCGGCGTGCATATATATATATATATATAGATATAGAGAGAGAGAGAGATCGCTTCATATAGGTATACATATATCCAACTGCCTGCGGCAAGTCCCGCCACCGTGCCAGCCCAGCATTTCAAATATTCTAGGTGACATGGGAGGCCGTCACGTGTCACACCTCGTGTCTCCAGGTTTGTGAGAGTTGTGATTTGGATGAGGATTATGAGGATGATGGGGGTAATGACACCGCTTATGATGCGAATGATGACGATAGTAATAGTGATGGTGCTGTTGATGATGATGACGATGGTGACGACGATGACGATGACGATACTGATGACGTTGATTACGGTTAGGATGTTGATGATTACGGTCATGAGAAGGGGGATGGGGATGACAATGAGATCGTTGACGATATTGATGATGATAATGGTAATGATGATGGTGATGACGATTATGATGATGCTGATGATGATGACGACGAGGAGCATGGTGATGATGATGATGCTGGTGGTGATGATGCTGATGACGATGATGATGAGCCTGCTGCCGCCGCTGCTGCTGATGATGATGGTGATGGTGATGGTGGTGATGGTGATGGTGATGGTGGTGGTGGTGTGATGCTGCTGCTGCTGCTGATGATGATGCTGATGATGATGATGATGATGATGATGATGATGATGCTGATGATGATGCTGATGATGATGATGATGATGATGATGATGATGATGATGATGATGATGATGATGATGATGATGATGATGATGATGATGCTGGAACTCGTTTGGGCCGTCGTGATGCTGTTTTGGCCTCCTGTGAGGCAGTCTTGGGGGTTCCTGGCAGTCTTGGAGCCCTCTCACGCTGGCTTGGGGCTCTCTTAGGCCGTCTTGGGCCCTCTTGGCCGTGTGGCGAGTGTCTGGGGGCCGTCGTGGGGCCGTCTTGGCGTCGTCTTGAGGCGTCGAAGGGCCTTCTAAGGCCGGCTTTGGGTCCAACGGGAGGCCCTCTTAGGCCTTTTAGAGTCCATCTTGGATGCCTCTTGGGCCATCGGGGAATCTTCTTGGGCCGTCTTGAGCTGACGACAGCCCAAAAGGCGAGAATGCGAAAATCATGTTAAAACCATCGGGAAACAATGATTTTGGCTTCGGAACCTTTTGAAGGTCTTCTTGTGGCCTTTTTGGGCTCTTTGGGAGGCATCTCTGGCCGTCTTGAATCCATATTCGGCCGCCTTTGGGCCATCTTGGGCGGTCTTCGAGGCATCTTGGGCCACCTTGGTGTCATTGGTTGCCTGCACGGGCCGTCTTGGAAGCTCGGGACGCATATCCATTTTTTTTACCAGGAATCGTGGCTTGGGAGGCCCTGGAGCGCTTGGAAGCAGCGCCTGGGAGTGCGGGAAGTGCACGATCCTTGAGCGGTTGCGCGTGGGATGAGGGACCTAACAGTTAGCAGCCATGCAGGAAGTGCACAGTCCTCGAGAAGGCGTGCATGGAATGAAGGTTCAGGCGTTAGCTGCCATGCGGGGAGTGCAGGATCCTCGGGCGGGTGCGAATGAAAGGGGGGGGTCAGGCATCAGCTGCTGTGCGGGAAGTAGACCATCCTCGAGCGGGCACGCGTGGAAGAGTCGAAGAGGGGTTCAGGCATTAGCGGCCGTGCTGGAAGTGCGCCAACCTCGAGCGGGCACGAGCGAAGTGGCCTTGGAACGAAGAGGTGGTGCACGTAGGAGTCAGCGGGTAGGGATGGAGAGGGTCCTCTATTAGAGTTCAAAAAGCCCTACCAGGCAGACCTTGGCATTCGTACAGGTCTCAACGTGCCAGGGGGGGCGCGGTGGCGGATACACACATGCACAGAAAACTCTGGCAGGGGCCGGATGTATCCATATCCACCGCCTGCCGAGATGCAGGAGAGGAAAAATCACACAGGCACTTTTAATCGTCGACTCCCAAGAAAATATCAGATAATATGGGAAGTAGGGGGGAAGGCGAAACCCAGAACAGATTGGAACTATGAGGCATCTGGGATTTGTGTTTATGTATTTGCGTGTCTCCGGGCTCCTTTCGAGATCCTCAAAGCTCGACCCCCAGGCGGTTGCAGCCAGCGCCTTAGCAAACATCAAGACCGAGACGATCCCGTATAGCCTCGGCCTCGGGGGCCCGCGCCGGGCCCTGCGGGGCCCCTGGAGCCGTCCACAGAACGAGTCGAGGTGAAGGCCTCGCCGAGGGGAAATGGTCGGGAGTTCCGGGGGCCCCGCATAGGACAACTCAAGACTCCGAGGAGGAAAGGGTATCCACACCGCCACCCCTCGCCCGTCTTCGCCTGTTCGGGCCTCCTGGGAGGCCCTCGTCGCCACCGCTGGATTCGCCTCGAAATCCTTGTCAGAACGCACCCAAGGAGAGGTCCGGGGAGAAGCAGTATCAGTACCTTTGGTTTCCCCGAAGACATCGAGTGCCTGGGCTCGGAGGACGTCGGTGACCCGCTTCAGGAGGTCCCGCGGAAGGAGGGGGGGGCGGGAAGCCAGGTGCGGTCGCGCCGCATGTGACACCCTCCCTATCCTGCCCATCCCTTCCCACCGCGCTGAATCACTCTCTATTCCCAACTTGTGGTGTCCTGTGACCCCAGAAACGACCCCGTCGTGCGACGCACAGTCAGGAAAAGGGGGTCTTTGCACATTGAAGGGTCACTGGCCAAGCTTCTAGATCTGCTAGCGGGCGGACCGCCATTTAACAATCCTTCGGGGCTGAAGAATGCGCACGTAGGAACACACCCTTTGCTTGCGGACGGGATGAGGAGGAGGACCAGGCAGAGGAGGGCAGGTGCAGACACCGGAGTCGGCCATGGGCCAGCCGTCGAAGACGCGAGCAGAACAGCAGTAGCGACAGCAGATGTGGAGGAAGAACCATCAGCACCCACGAGCAGAAACGCTTGCCCAGCGTGTCGCGCCGCAGGTTCTGGCCCACCACGCCTCGGCGCGACACGCTGAGCACCTCCCAGCTCCCACGCGCCAACGTCCAAAGCCTTTCGCAGCCTTCCGCTCCGCAGGGCGGAACGACACGCTACCCGGTCGTAGGGCAGTGTCGCAGGGGCCGCCGCCGCGACACGCGAAGCAAACGCTCCTGATCGTATGGGTTGACGCGCAGGGTCCGCGGGCAATGTCCAGAGCGAATGCAGCTTTGAATGTTGCGCCTTGTGGCGTGGGAGTGTTTCTTGGGTGGCTGGCCAGTCTCTGCGCTGGCACTCCTAGTTGGGAACCCGAGCGCTGAGGGAAGAGACACGGAGACCGTGACCAAGATGTCGCCGGATCCTGTCGATGCCAGTCTTGGTCATGGTCCATGCCGGCCGCCGCCGACGTGCGAGGGCGATCCACGAATTGGCAGTGACCAGGATCGACGGTAACCAAGATAGGCACGACGTTTCCACGCTCAGTCTTGGTGATACCCCCCGCTGGCGCGTCTGCACACGGCGGCAGCATATAGCCGCCAGAGCCGGCGCCTCTTGGCCCAGACGCCGGGAATGGCGACAGGGCGCCGCAGCGGCGACGGCGGCAACATAGCCGCCACAGCGCGGCACACCAGCCCAGTTCCCTAGAGCTTTAGCTGCCCCGATACGCCCGTTTCGAAGCGCAGCACGTGCCGTGTTCAAGATCGTCCGTGCTAACACGCTGCGTGTCGGTGCGGCACGTGTTGGCCCACGCCCTGGCGAGCGCATCGCGCCGGACCTGCGTGCTCAGTTTACGTGTTGAGCTCCGTGTCAACACGCCACCTGTTGCGTGCTGCGTATCGGGGCAGCTACAGTGGGGACCCATGCCAAGCAGCACCCTGCTTGCCTCCAGGGTGCCCTGGGTGTCTTGGGGTTCGATAGCTCTGCCGTGGGAAGCGTGGCGTTCCCGCACCGAAGAGTCCATGGACGTCCTGGGGCCTCAGGGTTGGGCTTTCCTGCGGAAGCTGTCTCGTGGTCGGGTCCCCGCTGTAAGCCCAGAACCCTCCTGCGGAACAGAACACGCAAACAGCGGCCGTCTGCGCGCCGAGGTCCGCGCGCCGCATGGCGGAGGCGCTGCGCGGCCCGGAGGCAGGGGGCCGGCCCGGCGCCGCGGGGCAGGCGCCCCGCCCGGCGGCGCGCGCCGCGTGGCTGGCGGAGGCGGCCTGCTTTCTGCCTCGGCCTCCTAGGCCTCAGCTCGACCTCCTCGACTTCAGCTCGACCTCCTCGACCTCTTCTCGACCTCCTCCTCCTCCTCCTCCTCCTCCTCCTCCTCCTCCTCCTCCTCATCCTCCTCCCCCCCTCCTCCTCCTCCTCCTCCTCCTCCTCCTCCTCCTCCTCCTCCTCCTCCTCCTCCTCCTCCTCCCTCCTCCTCCTCCTCCTCCTCCTCCTCATCCTCATCCTCCTCATCCTCTCTCCTCCTCCTCCTCCTCCTCCTCCTCCTCCTCCTCCTCCTCCTCCTCCCTCTCCTCCTCCTC